AGGGGAAAGGATGGGGAGCCCCGCTTGACCTCACCCACCGGCCTCCACCCCACCCTCCTTACTAGGGAGTGGCCGAGGGCCTCTCCTGTCCAGAGCAGGTGGGACTGGCGGGGGGGGAGGGTGGGGGGGGGGGCCCACACACCTCTCACCGGGCTCCGGCAGTGAAAGGTGATGATCTCCAGCACCGAGTTCTCCTCACAGCTGTCCACAGAGGCCATGTCATACAGTGACACCTGGACCGGCCCGTAGCACCACTCAGTGAACTTCCGGGAAAGGCACTGGTGCTCTCCTGAAATCTCTCGCTGCAGGATGTGTCTGAAAATCTGCAGGATTTTATCACGTGAGCTTGGCCCTCTTGTCCACCTCCCAGTGTGACTGGGAGTCCGGGGAGTACTCTGTCTGCAGAACTGCGTTGACGTGCACATGCCCTGTACACATGGTCCTTGTATGTACAAATGCTCAGAAAGGGTCACTAACCAGAGCAGGTTAAGATACAATTTGGTGCCCTGGCTGGTGTGCCCAGTGGTAGAGCATCAGCCCAGGCACCGAAGGGTCTCAGGTTTGATTCCTGGTCAAGAGCATGTACCTGGGTTGCAGATTTGATCTCTACCCCTGATCAGGGTGTGTGTGGGAGGCAACCATGTGTCTCTCCCACATCAATGTCTCTCTCTCTCTCTATCTCTCTCCTCCCTCCCCTCTCTTCCATTCTTGCTAATGGTCAATGGGGGAAAAAAATCCTCATTCCTCTGGTGAGGATAAAAAAAAAAGAGAGAGAGAGGTTAACGCCGGAGTTTGCTGCCTCGAACAACCACTTCAAAAATACAACTAAAAGACGGAATGGACATCACCCAGAACCACAGGAACGCTGGCTGAGTGGAAGTCCTACAACTAGGAGGAAAGAGAAACACATACTGAGGCTCAGAGGAGGCACAGTGCTGAAGTCAAATACTAAGGTGGGGAGTGCGCGCCGAGCGGGCTGGCAGTGGAGGGCGTGGTTGTTGTTTTCAATCGGGAGGGAGTCTCAGATTCTGAGCTCCAGATCCGGGCGAGTCTCTAGGGACCCAGACTCAAACGGGAGAAGCGGGACTGTCTGGCTTAGGTCTGAACTCGAAGGCAGCTTTCTCTCCGAGGTTTGCAGAGGTTGTT